ACTTTGAACCTCGAGTTTATCTGTATTTCTTTGACATGTTCCGAATACTATGAAGTCCATATAGCTTGGCTATTTACAATACTCTTCAATTTCACAAATTTTGAAAAAAAAAAAAAAAAAAAAAAAAAAAAAAATCCGACCAACCGACCCAATTTTTCGACTTGAGGGCAACATAAGTTTTGTTTTTTTTGGCCTAATTTACTGTTTTTTTTTATTTTTTTTTCCAGCAAAATTTTGATGCAACATTTTTCGCATTTTTCTGTATTTTTTTTATAATTTCTTTGTTATTATTGAGCCAAATGGATCAAATTTGCTCCCGCTTTTTATCAACATTTTGGGATAATTTAAAATGATTTATTTTGTAAAATTCACAGAAGTGGACTTCAGGATTAAGTCAGGATCAAAAGATGTGTTCAAATGTAAAACACTTGTAGGATTCAATAATTCCTTCACTCAAAATCTGACTTTATTTTGAATCTAAACCCACAAATCCTATTTAAACCAGCTTCGTTTGCCGAAGCCAAAAGTAACATGAAATAATTGAAATATTGCAAGGGAAATTGACATTGACAGAGAAATTCTGGTTTCCATTTATTTTTTTTTGGTGCCTGCTATAATATTCATGATTATACATATAAGCACCAAAAACAATGGAATTTACTGTTCTGTAAAAAGTGGTATCTGCATTTGTTCCAAAACGTATCTGCACTTGTTCGAGTGTACTACACCAACATTGACTCGTTCAAAATTATTGATGTTATATTTAAACACTTTCCTTTGTTCATATCAGACGCAGAATTGCTATAGAACGTGCCAAAATTTAAAAACGCCACTGATCATAAAAGTTCGTAGAGCTCAAAAGTGTTTTGCTGTTTCAACTGTTACCTCTCATTAAATTTTTACCACAAATAGAAAACAGATAGTATTATAATACGGTTACCAAGACAATTTCGCCAAATATGCATCAGGCAGTACGGCAACACATCTACCCCCGTTACACATCGGTTGATATTGTACTGTCTTCACGCATCTTTTGTGATATCCTCACAATAACCTCATAATAATATTACCGTAAAATCTGTATTAGAAGCCGCATCCCTAATAGAAGTCGCATCTATTCTATTCAATTGAGAACCAAATTTTCATTGTTTCTCATATGTGTAGATGCTCTAATAGAAGCCACATTCTATTTGTTGCATTGTACCATTTTAATAGAAGTCGCAGCTTCTAATACAGATTTTACAGTATTACCCAAATAGGGGATTTTCCGTACAATTGCGAGATCTCGCGAGATGTATGAAAAATGCGCGTCGAACGTCTACTGCAAAAATCGAACGATTTGATTTTGAACTAGAATTTCTTTATTTCGTAACTCACATCGACCAGCCAATCTTCGACAGAGGAATATTGCTTCCAAATACCCTTACTTAATCAAAATTGCCTATCATCAAATGTGGACAGCACATTATTAAGCATGGAAATGTCCCCCAAAATACTTCGCGTTTATCGAATCCCACGCGATGTTTGACGCGACTACGACGCTATGACCTTTGTTTGTCCTGTTTTTACGTTCGATTTCACGCATAACGCGTGATTCTCGCAGTGAACGGAAAATGGTCTATTATATGCTTACCTGTCACAGCCAAATACTCATTTGGGTGAAATCTAATGGAATTGACAGAGCCGGAATGACCCAGATATTGTAATACACATGCACCAGTTGCTATGTGCCATAACCGAGCTGTTCTATCTGCAACAAAATCGACACAAAATATCTTTGTTAGTTTCAATTCATTTACAACATGTACATTTCTGATCACAGCATATGACCTTCTTATTGCATTAGGACAGCCATTGTTGATTAGATGGTATAGAAAACGAGCAGCCTGTCGGCTGATATAGCTCTGCTGTTAGCAATGCACATTTCAATTAAGAAATTGATATCATCATCAAATGAACAAATCTG